AGCTGACTTCGAAGCGACATGTGTCATTCAATCACACTAGCAAAGATCTCTTTATAAAAGAATCGCTATTATTAGGATTGTATTCAAGCATATTACTCAATTTGAAGCAATGTATATCACTCAATCACATCAATAAAGATGTCTTGATAAATGAATGGTCACAATTAAGATTGCATCCAAACGAATTACTCAATTCAAAGCGATGTGTCTCACTCGATCATACTAGCAAAGATCCTTTGATAAATGAATTGTTATAACCAGAGTTCCATTCATATATATTCCTCAATTCAGAATGAATAGTGTTACTTGGTCAGATGAGCAAAGATTGCTTGATAAATGAGTCTCTATGATTAGAATTTTATGCAAATATATCGCTCAATTCGAAGGGAGGAGTAATATTCAACCACATCGGTAAAGATTCCTTGATAAATGCATCGCCATGATTAGGATTGTATTCAAGCATACCGCTGCATTTGAACCAACGTGTATCACTTGATCACATCATTACAGAGTCTCTGATAATTGAATTGTTATAATTACGGTTCCATCCAAATAAATGGCGCAATTCAAAACAACGTGCGTTTATTCATCGTATTGGCAACCATCCCTTGATAAATGAATTGCGATAAGGAGAATTATATTCAAGTATCTAGCTCGGTTCGAAGCGAATTATGTCATTCGATAGCATCAGGAAAGATCTCTGGATAAATGAATTAATTTAAAGTAAAGAATTCTGTTCGAATATCTAACTTGGCTGAAATCATAAATTTAGATGAAAAATATGTTCGCTGAATAGATGTCAATTGAATGGTGACTACAATCACTGGGTTCAAATATTGGTTAGATTGCAAGTATGTCATATGGCCGAAAATGCACTGAGGAAAATTGTAGAATATGAATAGAATAAAAAAATAATTTGTTCAGATGTCCACTAATTTACCGTAAAATGTGAGTTTAATATATACTTTGACAGATGATCTGAAGGTATTCGCATATTTTCAATCAAGCATAGATTCAACTACTTCAATGACTATAGCAAGAAGATCATAGTTGCTGTTTCAAATAACGATGACATGATGTATGCACCGACAGGACAAAAATTCTATTCAAATATTCCAAATAATTTCAATCAGTTGTTCGATATTGGTCTATCGACGAAAATAAACATTATACATGATAGTTTTTTACGCCCAGTTGTTGTTGTCGTTGAAGTTGTCGTTGTTCTCGTTGTTGTTGTTGAAGTTGTTGTTGTCGTAGTTGTTGTTGTCGTTGTTGTCGTTGTTGTTGTTGTTGTTGTCGTTGTTGTTGTTGTCGTTGTTGTAGTTGTTGTTGTTGTCGTTGTTGTCGTTGTTGTTGTTGTCGTTGTTGTTGTTGTCGTTGTTGTTGTGGTTGTTGTTGTAGTTGTTGTTGTTGTAGTTGTTGTTGTCGTAGTTGTTGTTGTCGTTGTTGTCGTTGTTGTCGTTGTTGTCGTAGTTGTTGTTGTCGTTGTTGTCGTTGTTGTTGTTGTTGTCGTTGTTGTCGTAGTTGTTGTCGTCGTTGTTGTCGTTGTTGTTGTAGTAGTTGTTGTTGTAGTTGTTGTTGTTGTAGTTGTTGTTGTAGTTGTTGTTGTCGTTGTTGTCGTAGTTGTTGTCGTCGTTGTTGTAGTTGTTGTTGTCGTTGTTGTTGTAGTTGTTGTCGTCGTTGTTGTTGTCGTTGTTGTCGTTGTCGTTGTAGTTGTCTTTGTGGTTGTCGTTGTTGTAGTTATTGTCGTAGGAGTAGCTAAATAGATATGGTGAGTTGTATTGAATTATAACTACGCTGTACTACACAGTATTCTTGTAGTGTATATTGACAAATCAATCTCAACTCAGTTTTGAGTTTTTATACAGAAAATCCACAGTATTTTCAACATGTATCATAGGCTAGGTTTAGAGTTTGGTAACAAACAGTTTGAACATATTGATCTATGATCTCAAATGAATAGTGATATGTCGTACTTTGTGGAGCACATTCTGAAACAGTGAATATAGAGCTGAACTCCATTGTTCTTAGCTTAAAATTACTCAAAGGTAAACTTCTAAGTAAGGAAAAGCAAAGTCAGTCTTTGTTTAAGCATGTTATTGTTGAAACTCCTTGCCATTATATCTATCATTTTTGACTAAATATGTTGTAGTTTCAAGTATTTTCCTTCCATCATGAGTATCTCATCAGAAAATGACATGAGTTACGCAGTTGATGTAGTTCATTCAAGAGAAAATTTGGTCGAAATACATCCTTCTGATACATGTGCTTCTCTTATTGTGCACTTTGATTCTTTCTTTTGCTATCGAGCGTTTTTCTTTCATATTCTCTTGGTTCGTGTTCTTAAGAATAGTGTGCTTTTGATAGAATTCGAACATCTGATTTTCAACTTTTGATGGAAGAAAAACATTTATCCAAGGCTGTGGGGTATGGCTGTGAAGGTGGGTAGATGTAAGAGAAGAGAAGATCTACACCCACTCTCAGACTCCATAATCACATTAGAACACACCGGCAGTCTCGAGATTTAATTTAAATCTTTGTACATTTCTGCGAATACTGTACTCAGAATTTCATTGTCAAAATTCTATCAGAATTCATAACTGTTTTCATTCACGATCCTTACAAAAATGTATGCATAGGTTTCACCAAGATTTTAGCTCGTTTTTATTCAGGATCTATTCAAGATTTGTATATGTTTGGATCAAAACACGAGTTTCAATACTACAGTCGAGCAAAACCTCAACAATAATCAATAGAATGATTTTTCAAATGTTTATTATGTTCTTTTAGGAGTCTGATAGAATTCAGCAGACTACGCGAATTTTCGAGTGTGGGTGTGTGTCTACCATTCTCTCACATCCACACTTAAGTAGATACTTGAATATTGCTCGAATGATTGTGTGAAAAGTGGATTAGTATCTATGAAACAAATGATTAGACATAGAGTTGAGAGGAAGGGTCTAGAAAGTTTTCGATGTTTTAGAAAACAGAGGTAGAAGACTAGAATGTTCAGGAAGAAAGATAGCTTTCTTTCTTTTTTCAGAGTAAAGCATTAGAGGAAGGTATATCTAACTTTGGTGATGGGTATGAAGTTTTCTTTTTTGCAGATGATAGTTGAACCGGAATATTTGGCAGCTTTTTCATAGTTTCTCCGTTATTGAGTTTATTAGAGAATCGGCTGATTTATTAGTCGCTTGAAGAAGTGTAAGAAAATTTGCTGATTTTAATAAAGTAAATCATGTTTTATAGTTTTTGAGAAGTAGAGATATCATTCGGTGTGAAACGGAAGTTTCGAGCTAGTGAGTTTTTTTAACTGGGCTGGCGTTTGCTATAGTACTGCTCCATCGATGTGAAAAGTTTAGTAGACAAATCATTTTGCTCTATTCTAACATGAAGTCACTCGAAGGTAGATGAGAATTAGATATGATAGAAGCGATTAGTTGCTGCCATTCTTCCCATCAAGATATTGAGGAAAACATAAAGGGTCTTTGAGAATAAGATATTTTTTAGGAGTTTGAATAGTATTAATATTTCTATTAATGAAGGTAAACTCTTTTGCAGGATAGTTTCAGGTCGTTGATAGCGTGAAATACGTCTGGAGAATATTCTGCCTAACGCTTTTTTGAAGTTTAACGCCTATGACTTTATCACATGAGGCGTTCTATCCAATCCTTTCCAATTAGGAATGTTGCCCATTTTGTCAACAAAAAAATTTCAGCTTTTTTATTTTTGTATTGTTTCTATCATTACGAGTGATGTGACATCTAACTTTTGTGGATCTTTTCGTAATGAATAGCCTCTCTTTCAATTTCACTTGATGAGAAAAAGCACTTTTTTATCCTTGTCTCCGAAACACTGCAATTGATTAATCAGAAAAAATGATTATTTTACATTTCAAAATAAAAGAAGAGTGAATATTTTTAGAATAATATTTGACACAAACAATATTGAGATATGCGGTTTTCATCTTTTAGAAGCGGAGATAAAGCAGCATTGAATCGCATAGATCACATATTTCTGACAACTTTTCTTAAGGTTTCTTGCCAAGTTTTCTAAGAAGTCGAAGTCTTTAAATAGGTTTGTCAGATGAGTTTTTTCTGAAAAAAATTAAGAAAAAAGAACCAATTTTTGTGAAAAACCTGCCGATAACATGTAGTAAAATGTTCATAACTCATGATGGACTAAACCTTACTACATGGAACTTACAGAGTATATAGGTCTATAGTTTATTATTCTAGTATACTTCTGAAAATTAAGATTCTACTACTTTTACATTACACAACGTTTTGTTTTTAATAAACTTGATAGCAGACCCTGAAAAAACTTGTCAGAAACATCTGACTTATACGATTTGATGCAGCTTCATACCCTTATGTAAACGGTGCAATCCAGAGGTCTCTATTTCGTTTGCATCAAACATTATTCCAAAAATACTCAACCTTCCTTTGATTTTAAAATTGGAAATAGACACAGTGGAGGATAATCGCTACCATTGCAGCGGGTAACTAAGACACTATTTAGACGATATTCTGGAACGCAAGCCTCGAACATTCTTAGTAGAAATAAATTGAATACCAGAAAGGTTGCACACTTGAATTATTGAACACTCTCATATTTGAACCTCTTCAGTGTTTAAATGTTTGACCATTTCATTTGAAAAGAAACTTTTCAAAAGGATGTCTTTGATTTCTACGCTGCTATACTTAGGGTATACCAAAAGTTCTGATCACAGTTTTTAAAATTTAATAAAGCAATAAATATTGAATATTTTACTAAGGCGATATATAGTATAACGTCTCGTCTTTAATAATATATAGAGCAACTCTCTCTTAGACTTAGTTCTAACATCCTTTCAGACTAAATCTATAATTTTACAGACAATGCAAATATTATTAATTCTTGTTCAATGGTCAGGTACATTCTGGAACTTTCTATTGGTCACTCTCTCGTCACGTTTTATGACGTCATGTTCTAGAATATTACATTTCGATAGTATATATAAATGAGAGGTCGTTCGCTGTTAGTTCATTTGTACCGTACTCGACTTAAAATCGTAATAGAATTTGATTTCAATCTTAAAAGAAGACATTAAACATGACTGATGAATTCAATCGATATTATATCAAAATTCGAGCTATTTTGGGAATAGATTCAAAAACAATCTTTGACGAACTTACAGAGGCATTGGGACCTGATGCTCCATCATATCCAACAGTCAGAAGATGGGCGAAACGTTTTCGTGAAGGAAGAGACGATGTCACTGATGATCCTCGATCTGGTCGTCCGATTTCGGTACTTACAGATGAAAATGTTGAACGCATTCGACAAGTTATCGAAGATGATCCACACTCAACTTATGATGATATTATGGGTGAGACTGATCTATCACGTGGTACAATAGAACGAATTATTCATGATCGTCTAAAGATGAGAAAAGTTACATCACGTTGGGTTGCTCATCAACTTACTGACGAAAAAAAACAAAAACGACTTAGAATTTGTCGTCAAAATTTAGAGAAATTTAGAAATGGAACATGGCATTTATGTGATGTTATTACTGGTGATGAGACATGGATTTATCACAGGCAGATTGGTCGAAAGTCAAGCAATGCTACTTGGGTTGGCGAAAATGAACCACCAAGAACAATTGTTCGTCGGAATAGATTTGAACCTAGAACACTATTTTGCTTCGTCTTCAAATCCACTGGTTCTCTTCTCATACACAAAGTAGATAAGGGCAAGACAATCGATCATGACTACTATATTGATAATTGTCTTATACCTGTTATCAATGAAATAAGAAAAAAGGAAAAGTCATCACGTACTACATATAAAATGCTTCATGATAATGGTCCTCCTCATACTCATCCAGATGTTATTGATTATTTAATGGAGGAAGGAATCGAAATCATTCCACATCCACCATATTCACCAGATCTCGCACCGTGTGACTTTTGGCTAAATGATTATATCAAGAACAAGTTGACGGATCACACAAACGAAGAATCATTAGCTCAAGAGGTTTCCACCATAGTGAAGAATATTCCAATAAACGAGTTTAAAAAGACTTTCGATAAACTGTTAGAAAGAATGAAACTTTGTATCGAAAATAATGGTGATTATTTTGAGCATTTAATAAAATAAAATAACGAATGTCTCTTCGTTTCTGTATTGTGGTTTTATGTTGGCATGATCTTTTCTTGGCTATAAATACTATAGATTTAGTCTGAAAGGATGTTAGAACTAAGCCTAAGAGAGAGTTGCTCTATATATTATTAAAGACGAGACGTTATACTATATATTGCCTTAGTAAAATATTCAATATTTATTGCTTTATTAAATTTTAAAAACTGTGATCAGAACTTTTGGTATACCCTAAGTATTATATCACACAGTTGTTTAGTGACAGACTCGATCCTTATTTAATAGATTTTTCTGAGTTTTCCTAGATTCTGTATGTCATCAATGATAAATTTGTCCGACTCCCAGCCGTTAGATATTATCGGATTCATGAATCACTTCTCCAAACTCGTATCTCGATATGTGGACAATTTGTTAGTGGCATATATTTATCTCATAGATTGACCTTTGAATAGAAACAATCGGTGAACTAGCTTTTAGAGTAGCTCAAACTATGAAGAATCATCTTACTGTTCGGGGGACACACATGGCTCACAACAATCGATGACGCAGATCCACAGGTCACGATTGCCGTACAGTAAAGGATGGTATCTGGTCCTGGTGTATATAGATAAGCTTGCTTAGAATTTCCGTTTGGATACGTTTGATTAATTGTGCCCGATTGCAGGAAGGTACAACTGATGAAATAGAAGAATGATGTTGAGCCCTGAAGAACAAAATGCCAACCAAAAGTATTGTTGTTCGGAGATGGTGGACAAACATCAGATTTATAATTTGTACTTGGCGTATTCCTTTGATTCGACTGAAGGTTAATAGTACAGTTGTCTAAAATGAAGATATTCTTTAAGT